CCTGTTCCCAGTTGTCTCTTTGCCGCCTGTTAAAGTGCTGTGTCCTCTTTACCGCCTGTTAAAGTGTCGTGTCCTCTTTACCGCCTGTAAAAGTGCTGTGTCCTCTTTACCGCCTGTAAAAGTTCCGTGTCCTCTTTACCGCCTGTTAAAGTGCTGTGTCCTCTTTGCCGCCTGTTAAAGTGCTGTGTCCTCTTTGCCGCCTGTAAAAGTGCTGTGTCCTCTTTGCCGCCTGTTAAAGTGCTGTGTCCTCTTTGCCGCCTGTAAAAGTGCTGTGTCCTCTTTGCTGCCTGTTAAAGTGCAGTGTCCTCTTTGCCGCCTGTTAAAGTGCTGTGTCCTCTTTGCCGCCTGTTAAAGTGCTGTGTCCTCTTTGCCGCCTGTTAAAGTGCTGTGTCCTCTTTGCCGCCTGTAAAAGTTCCGTGTCCTCTTTGCCGCCTGTAAAAGTGCTGTGTCCTCTTTGCCGCCTGTTAAAGTGCTGTGTCCTCTTTGCCGCCTGTAAAAGTTCCGTGTCCTCTTTGCCGCCTGTAAAAGTGCTGTGTCCTCTTTGCCGCCTGTTAAAGTGCTGTGTCCTCTTTGCCGCCTGTTAAAGTGCTGTGTCCTCTTTGCTGCCTGTTAAAGTGCAGTGTCCTCTTTACCGTCTGTAAAAGTGCTGTGTCCTCTTTGCCGCCTGTTAAAGTGCTGTGTCCTCTTTGCCGCCTGTTAAAGTGCTGTGTCCTCTTTGCCGCCTGTTAAAGTGCTGTGTCCTCTTTGCCGCCTGTTAAAGTGCTGTGTCCTCTTTGCCGCCTGTAAAAGTGCTGTTTCCTCTTTGCCGCCTGTTAAAGTGCTGTGTCCTCTTTGCCGGCTGTAAAAGTGCTGTGTCCTCTTTGCCGCCTGTTAAAGTGCTGTGTCCTCTTTGCCGCCTGTTAAAGTGCTGTGTCCTCTTTGCCGCCTGTTAAAGTGCTGTGTCCTCTTTGCCGCCTGTTAAAGTGCTGTGTCCTCAGCCGCCTGTTAAAGTGCTGTGTCCTCTTTGCCGCCTGTTAAAGGGCTGTGTCCTCTTTGCCGCCTGTTAAAGTGCTGTGTCCTCTTTGCCGCCTGTTAAAGTGCTGTGTCCTTGTGTTTCCAGACGGCCGCATTAGTCCAATAACCGCGGCGTGTTTCGGTCTCCCACATGTGCGCCGGGCGTCCATCTTGTCTGCTCCACGGTCCCACACTCCGGGGGTCAAGAGCGACCACATTATCCATGTGTTGTGGTGGACTTGACTCGGTTGCCACGGCAACGGCTCAATCAAGCCATGAAGGAAGCTTCCTACGGCGCAGCGGCCTCTGAGCGAACAATCTCAGTCACATTTATTCACTCAAAATAACATAAATGATGCTTTTATGATGATATTTTACTAGTTTTACTGAGATTATTTTACTAGTTTTACTGAGATTATAGTACTAGTTTTACTGAGATTATTTTACTAGTTTTATGGAGATTATTTTACTAGTTTTACTAAATTATTTTACTAGTTTGTTTCATTTTATTTTATTTTAAAGCAATATTTTAATTATTTTGACATGTTTGTGTGAGTGTATGTGTGTGTATATGTGCATATGTATGTGTATGTGTGTGTATGTGTGTGTGTGTGTGTGTGTGTGTGTGTATCAAACTGAAACTTCCCCATTGTGGGACGAATAGAGGACCTTCTTCTTCGTAGCCCACGTGAAGTTTAGTCCAGTTTAGTCTGCATTAGTCTAGTTAAGTCTGCATTAGTCTAGTTGAGTCTGCATTAGTCTAGTTGAGTCTGCATTAGTCTAGTTAAGTCTGCATTAGTCTAGTTGAGTCTGCATTAGTCTAGTTGAGTCTGCATTAGTCTAGTTAAGTCTGCATTAGTCTAGTTAAGTCTGCATTAGTCTAGTTGAGTCTGCATTAGTCTAGTTGAGTCTGCATTAGTCTAGTTGAGTCTGCATTAGTCTAGTTAAGTCTGCATTAGTCCAGTTTAGTCTGCATTAGTCTAGTTAAGTCTGCATTAGTCTAGTTGAGTCTGCATTAGTCTAGTTGAGTCTGCATTAGTCTAGTTAAGTCTGCATTAGTCTAGTTGAGTCTGCATTAGTCTAGTTGAGTCTGCAGCACCAGGAGTATCCCCCGGACACATGGTCCTTCAGCTCTTGTAACACCAGATATAATAACACATCCATGTTTTACTCTTACCTTACAATAGTGTAGTTATAAATGCAGTGGACACATCAGGTCCCATAAGGAACACTCAGGACATTAGCTCAGTGGCTAATGCTAACGAGTGTCCAGTCAGCAGAGCGGCGGCGGCGGTGACCACAGCGGGAGATTAACTCTGTGATTACATGAATATCCTCAGGTGAGATTAGACCAGAGCAGCAGAGACAGGCCCCACACACACTGCTCATTATTCACGCCGCCTTCATCGTCCAAGTCGCACCGAGCAGAGAATGTACGAGATTCCCACCTCGAGTGTCAGAATTTGTAAGAACCGCTGTTTTTTTCACACAAAATTATTTCCCAGAA